TGGTAAAGTGCTGTGGGACTTAATAACGTCACGAGAGAATTGGATGTGTTTCCCAGGGCTCCAAATGGCACCTGGCAGATGGGAGCTTGTATTGTTATGTCCAAAGATGATGGCATGGTGTTTGAGAATGCAATAGCCTTTTGTGATGGATTTTCTTATTAGATAATGGTTTTAGTAAAAAAATTATTTTGGTCTGGTGAAAATGTAGCTCTTCTGGGTACAGTGATGGATGAAAGGGTTTGGTTTGTTTCTTTGGTTGAACGTACAAATCCCTCAGATTTGCTAGACCAGTGGAGGCATCATTGACTTCTACGTCTGATTCCTCCTTCCCAGAATGGTTTTCTTTTTCAGGTGTGCTGCTCTGCACAGAGTTCTTGTTTGAAGTCTGTGTGTGTTTTTGCTTCCAAATCTTTGTCAAAAACACTGGGCCTTGCTGCGTGACTTTATAAGCAGGGTCAACAGCCAGGAAGTTCTGTCTCTGTAAAGAAAAAGCATGTTGAAGAAACCTAGAATCACAGAATCATTTAGATTTGAAAAGACCCTTAAGATCGAGTCCAACCATTAACCTAACACTGCCAAGTCCACTGCTAAACCATGTCCCCTGTGTGGGGGGGTTTAGTGCCACATCTACATGTCTTTTAAACACCTTCAGGGATGATGACTCAACCACCTCCCTGGGCAACCTGTTTCAGTGCTTGACAACACTTTCAGTGAAATTTTTTTCCTAATATCCAACCTAAAGCTCCCCTGGCACAACTTAAGGCTCTTTCCTCTTGTCCTATCGTTTGTTACTTGGGAGAAGAGACCAACACCCACCTTGCTACAACCTCCTTTCAGGTAGCTGCAGAGAGTGATAAGGTCTCCCCTGAGCCTCTTTTTCTCAGGGCTAATCAACCCCAGTTCTCTCAGCTGCTCCACATAAGTCTTGGGTTCAAGAACCTTCACCAGCTTTGTTGCTCCTCTTTGGATGTACTCCAGCACCTCAATGTCTTCCTTGTAGCGAGGAGCCCAAAACTGAACACAGTATTTAAGGTGTGGCCTCACCAGTGCTGAGCACAGGGGCACAATCACTTCCTTAATCCTGCTGGCCACACTATTGCTGATACAAGCCAGGATGCTGTTGGCCTTCTTGGCCAGCTGGGGTCTATGTCAACTCATGTTCAGCTGGCTGTCAATCAACACCCCCAGGTTCTTTTCCACCAGGCAGCTTTCCAGCCATGCATCCACAAGCCTGTAGCGTTGCATGGAGTTGTTGTGACTCAAGTGCAGGACCTGGCACTTGTCCCTGTTGAGCCTCCTGTAATTGGCCTTGGACCATTAATCCAGGCTGTCCAGATCCCTCTGCAGAGTCTTCCTACCCTCAAGCAGATCAACACTCCCACCCAACTCATCATTGT